TGTAATTTAACAAAACAGTAAAAATCAGTAAATCATTAAAATAAAACACAGCGTTCATTTTTTCCCATTTCGTCACAAACAACAACGTAAATCATCCGTTTTGATTAATTGTTCATTTATTAAATAATTTCAAGCAGGATACCATAAAAATGTGACGATTAAAGACACCAGTCTCTACCCTGATAGTGACTCTTGTTTTTTTTGTTGTTTTTTTTAAATCCACAGACATGTTTCTGTCCAGAATATAGTGATATAAAACATTAAACTTTCATTAATCACTTACAAAGTCTACGTATCGTTATTGTCGTTGTTTTTTTTCTGCTTTTCTTTTAACACACACTGGTTATGGGAGCTACGGGATAGATTTGTCGTCGACGTCACGTTCTAAAAAAACTAAATAGACAAATTTTATATATTAAATGTTCAAAATCCTTCATGAAATAGCTTCAAATGTACACTCTCCAGCGGCATGTAAAATATACACAAAGGTACAAAACCCCCCCGGCCGGCCGTCTCCTGCTACAGTCAGAGGGTCCAAACTGGTCAAACTTCTCCTGGACGTCGTCGTCGTCGTCGAGCTTCCGTCTGCTAAGGCCACACCTCCATTTATAATCTCATAAGTTACCACGGATCTCTTTTTGTGACTTTGTTCTGTCATCCTTGGTGTCAGCTTTTGTCTTCTTTGAGCTTCTCGTCGCCTCTTTATTGCCGTCGCTGCTTCTTCTTCTTCTTCTTTTATTTGTTTAGTTTTTTTTTTAGTTTACTTTTTGTTGTTGTTTCAGATCTTATCTTCCTTTTCATTGGTTTTTCAGCGCGTTGATGTGAGCGCAGATCTTTAGGGCGGGTCCCAGTTTGATGTTCATGCTGGTCATCAGGTGGTCCTCGGTGAGGAGCAGCAGAGCCTGACCGTCGATCTCCTGCAGCCGGAAGGCCTCGGCCACATCGCTGCAGCCTGGAACGGATCAGAGACAACTTTAATGCTCTACAAAACAGGACAAGCACTCAGGGTTGAGCTGCAGAGTAATTAACAGAAACATTAGGTTCGCCTTCGTTTCATTGGTAATAACATTACAGGCATTTTGTCGCCCCCTCCTGGCACTAAGAGGTACTACACAAACACAGTGGACGCACAATAATGGCGCCGTCGGTCTCTTTCTTTTCAGATCGTAACCCGTTCTCTATTCAACTTTTCTATAGATGTTATTTACAGTTTTGGTCTTTTTTTTTTTTGAAACATTTAACGTCTTTTTTTTTTTTTCTGTAATTTAACAAAACTGGAAAAAAAATCTCTAATACAGCAGTTTTTTAAAAAAAAGTATTTCTCATTTTTCAGCCCCTAAGATACAATTTTTCTTTTTTTTTTTGTCAAATAACAGCAAATATCTTAATAAATCAAAAACAATTTACTATTTATAAAAAAAAATAAAAATTCGGATGTTTTGGCCTTTTTAAAAAAATATATATTTTTAAACATTTAATATGTAAATTCATACTTTCAACTTCAATCGACGGCTTTGTTCAGCTAACACGATACGTACAATAATAATTCTTTTCTGTGATTTTACTCGATGTTCTCTGTAATTTAACAAAACTGTCACGTGGCAGTTAAAGTTTTTTTTACCATTTTGTGGTCCTTAATATAATTATTTTTCCCCCTCAAAATTACAGCAAATATCTGTTAATTTCTAATATTCTTTGCTGATTTAAATACAGTTAAAATACTGTAATTTTGTGGTCCAACGCTAAACGACAAATCACTATTTGTAAAAATACAAATATTCGATGTCGTTCTTAAGTTTTTGTTTTTACCGTTAACATGTAAATTGAACTGGAAAAAAATTACAATCTTTTTTTATTTTAGCTAATTTAAATAGGGTAAAAATAATGTGTAATTTTAATGATTACCATTTGAAATATTTGGATGTTTGTTGCCTCCGTCTGGCAGTGAGAGTAATTACACACATATTGTTGATGTTTTATGATGTCACCATTAACCTCCTTCGTTATTGGACAGTAACTCATCCTCTAAATGTTTGGTTGGACGTCATGAACCTCCTCAGAGTCTCTGTCATGGTCCTGATGCTGCTAAACTCCCACAATGCTCTCTGCTGCCACCTGTAGTCTGAGTGAGAGGCTCCACCTGGTGGAACAACCAGGTACTGCAGCTGGTCTACGACACGTTCACCAGAGCAGCAGAGGATTTCCAGGACCCTTGTTTACCATCGACTGTTAGATAAAACAGCGACCCCTTGTGTCTCCAAAGGGAACTTCGACATGAGCAAAAAATGAGTGGAAACAACATTTTAAATCCAGAACTTGTTGGTTAGAAAGTAGTGTTTTGATGGAATAAACCCTTAAAACCACATATTGCTTCATAGAAAGAACTTCTGGGGTGGAATTCACTTTAAACTCTCAGTGTTAAGGACAGAATTTGGCAGGCGGCGACACACGAGGGTCCTAGAAGTGTAGCTGTGGCTCTGAAAGTGAAGCCTCGTCTGCTGCAGACACGTAAAACTGGAAATGCTGGTTTTCACTGACGTCTGGAGCTTCAGGAGGTTGCTGAGCAGCTACGGGGCGTTCAGGAGCAGCTCGGACGCACAAAGGCAGCGTTTCAGTCGTCAGGCATGAACATGGAGACAGAGTTTAGTAACTTGAATGTATCTGAGGTGTGTGTTGTTCAGGAAAACGGTATCGGGTCGGGACTTAACACTAATATGAAGCTGGTACTGGAGAGGATTAAACATGAAGGATGTGTGGCGGCGCTGATGGTTAAACAGGCGCCTGAAAACCTCAACAAGCAGCAAATATCAGCAGATTCGACTCGACTCTGTTTGGTTCCTGCTCCAGATGTTTCTTTCTGAGGTTGGAAGTATGCGCGTTACTTCACCCGGCGGTTAGCTGCAGCGTTTCTTTGCGTAACGTTTAATAGGCCGGGGGAGCCTCCGCCATCTGCTGGCGGTTAGGACGCCGAGCGGCGCCGTAAATCAGGCTGACAGCGGAGCCGAGCACCGACCTGGCAGCGTGTGGATGAAGGCGGTGACGTCCTCCACGCTCCACTGGGAGGGCGCCGGCTTGAAGGTGGAGGTGGGCGTCGACGTGGTGACGGCCGGCGCTGACGCCCTGCGAGCTCTCCGGGCCGCCCGCCGCTCCATCCGGGCCGCCATGGCAACAGCCGGATCCTCCTCCCCTCCGTCATCGTCGTCTTCCTCCCCGCCTCCCCCCACGTCCTCCTCCTCCTCCTCCTCCTCGTCCTCATCCTCCGGCGCCGCCGCCTTCTCCTTCCCCTCCTTCTCGCGGCGCCCGGCGCTCCACAAGTCACGAGGCTGTGGAGGAGGTTCAGAACCGTCACATCATCTGTATACATGTAAACAACAACAAACTGCTCCCTCAACGTTCCTGTAAATAAAAGTCCAAGTGTGCGGATGTGGGCCTGTGCAGGCGTGAATCATGTGTGTATATAGATATAGACAGAGATATTTAGGTGTGTGTTTATATATTTATATATATTTGTATATATTTATATATAGTTGTACAGGTTTATTTTCTGTAAATTTGCCTCCTTGAGTTAAATGAAATGTTTTAAATGTTTAACAGCTGAAGTCGTGACAAACACAGGAGCTGGACTGTAGGATGTTTATGACGGGTTGTGACGTTTAGCTCAGTGTTTCACCTGTTCTCTCTGGTTCTGCCGTAAACTGTCAGAAAAGCATTTTTCACAGTTTGTCCACGACTTTGGAGAAACTCTATACAGACATCCAGACGGCGCCGAACTGATATGTGTGGAAACAGTTTGCTTTGTTTAAGAACTGAGGTGTTTTGATGAGATTTTGAACCCGGTGATGAAACATTTTGCTTTGTTTCCTTTTGTGTTTATACTTCCTGATAAAAGTCTGTATTTTACGTTAATCGTGCTCTCATTGGACATCCGATCATATAACGCTGCACATTTTCTACTAATCAAGAGGACGCCTGGACTAAACTTCCTCCTCCTCCTGCTGCAGAAACTACAACAAACATGGCCGCCCAGGCCTCACATCCCATCAGCCACCTGTGCTTGTGAAGCTGACAGGTGTGTCAGAGGACTCAGGTGAGCTGAACAAGCAGAAACCTGGATTGTGCTGCAGGAGAAGCTTCTGTGGAGGTTTTTTCATCTCTTCCAGCATCACGACT